TGATTAGACTGAGGTTAAAGATTTGGGGAAGATCAGATTAAAGATTTGGCTCATGTCTGTATTCACAGCACTTTGGGAAGCTAAGGCAGAAAGTTAGCTTGAGGTCAGGGGTTCAAGACCAGCTGGGGAAATATAGCAAGACCCCATTTCTATAAAAAAAATTTTTGATTAAAAAAAGAATTAGGGAATCTGTACCACAGAGGTGAAAAACTATTCTCATCACATCATATCAGGGAGTCAATATGTCTTACTTTTGGTAATGTTAAACTTAATCACTTAGTTAAAGTGGTGTCTGCCATATTACTGTAAAGTTAATATTTATTCTTTCCACAATCTACTGTCAAAAGCTAGTCAATAAGTCCAGCCCACTCTCAAAGAGAGGAGGGTCAAAGAATTTGTGGCTATCTTACCATAATCTTTTATACTTTGAGTTGCTCTGTTAACACCTTTGATCAAATGGAATTCATTTTGACAAAAGGAGCAAGGTATACTTTTTTCCAGATGGCTTTTCTAGCTATCTCTGCACCATTTAATGAGTAACCATCTCTTCCTCCTGATTTGAAATGGCATCTTTATCATATACCAAATCCCTATGTGCATTCTATTTCTGAGGTCTTTATTCTGTTCCTTTTATTATTCTAACCCTCCTTCTATAACAGATTTCTAATTATTATAGCTTCAAATATAAGTTTTTATATCTGCCAGGACTGGTTTTATAGGGGGATTCTCTGTTCTTTTTTTTATGATAGGAAGGATTATCAAGGAGAACAGAGACAGAGAAGGGAGTCAGAAATTGAAGATGCAGGAGGAAGGCAGGATATCAGATGGAGGAATGTCCCTAAGAAGATGAGAGAGATAAGTCTCATCATCCAGGCAGAAGAATTAAGAAGAAAAGTTGTCTCTTCTGTTGTAAACTGAAGGAATGAACACAGTATGGGTACAAATACAGATTACGTTGGAGGTAGTTAACAAAGAATTGAGAGAGTTCCCATCTAATTACTTCTGTCTTTATGAGGTTTGATGTGAGGGTATCTGCGCTGAGTAAGAGAAAGAGGAGGTGGAGTTGAAGGTTTGAGGACAACAGAGAAGGTTTAATGTACATTTTTGCAGATGAATCTTTGCACACTTCTATTTATTTCCATAAAATACTGTTTGCTGACTCAAAATATATACATTTTTAAGGATCTCAGAAGATACTATATGGGTAAATCAACTTACCTAAAAAAGAAGCTTTCCATAAAACCCAGTTTGCCCTTATGTTGACCCAACATAATTGTTAATACTCTTCCCCATTACTCTCAATAGTGTCTGGTGTAGATGACTAGTCATATGATCATTTTATCATAGTTTAAGCCTGACATGAGCTAAATTGAATAAATTTGTTTATTAGATGGTTTTAAAATATTTAAGATTTGAAAACATTGCTTGATGAGGAAAAGCTAACTGAATTGTTCATGTAGGAAATAGTACAGTCTATTTCAGTTTATATCCCTCATCAAGTATAATCATTCAGTTTATATGTTTTTTCAGTCTACTCCTAGGGAAAACTAAATGAAGAAAAAGATAATGCTCATATTTTTTGTGCAGCTTATCAGTGCTTTCATGCCTTAAAAATTAAGAAAAATTATCTACCTCTATGTGCTACAAGATGGTCTTCAACTTCTCCTGTACCTCGAATTACTACTCACTATACTATTTATCCCCGGGATAAGGACAAACGATGGGAAGGTAAGTAATTTGTGTAACACTTATGAGACTTTTCTAGATACTTTGTATCATTTTGTGGAGGAGAATATTATATTATTGATGATAGTTTAGAAGTATTTAATAATATTTTATGGCTTTACAAATATATATTGCTATATTCATGTACCACATACATTTCAGGCAGTGACAGACAGCATATATGACAGTGGTCCCATAGAGAGTGATGGAGCTGAAAAATTCCTATCACCTAGTGACATCTTCCAGAACATCATTTTCAAAATGTCATACTGCTATGCATTACTCACATGTTTGTGGTGATGCTGGTGTAAACAAACATGCTGCACTGACAATTGTATAAAAGTATAGCACATACAATTATATATGGTACATAATACTTGATAATAAACAACTATGTTGCTAGTTTATGTATTTACTATATTATACTTTTTATCAATATTTTAGAGTGTACTCCTTCTACTTATTAAAAAAAAAAGTTAACTGTAAAACAGCTCAGGCAAGTCCTTCAGGAGGTATTCCAGAAGAAGGCATTGTTATAATAGATAACTGCTCCTTGTAGACCTTCCAATGAGACAAGATGTGGAGGTCAAAGACCGTGATTATTCATGCTCCTGACCTTGTTTAGGCCTGGGCTAATGTGTGTGTTTGTGTCTTAGTTTTTAACAAAAATGTTTTAAAAAA